CTTTCAATAACTTTCACTATTTTGAACCTGTTACAGTACCGAATTTTTATTGCTCTTTTTTTTTCTGTCTTCTTTTATTGTTGTTATTATTACGGCGAATGGTTGCTGTTGTAATTTAGCTAAACAAAAACTGATAGAGGGGGAAAAGGTGGAAGGATGAAGAGAACAACAGGAGTGGAAAAAAAGCAAGAGGAAAAGTTGACAAACTGTTCTTTATCAGCAGCAGTTAATGACAAATGAAAAAGGTTCTCATTCGTTCTCGTCAGTAAGGATGGCGAAGTTCAGTACAGCAGCTGCATCAGCACCAGCACTGGCATCATTGCCATTGTCATCACATCATTAGTAGTGTCAAGAACGATGGCGGCAACGGCATCAGCAATCATACCATTACCAATAGATTTCTTTTTTATTGCCATTTTTTTTGTTCGGCATTATTGAAAACAACTTTCTTCTTTTTTGTTCTTGTGACTTTAACAATTTTCCTTGTCTCGGTATTAGTTTTTTGTTGTCTTTGTTAACCCTAACAGCTCTTTATCTTGAATTTAAAAATAGATTTAAGTACAACTTTGAATGCTAAAGAAAAGTCATTGGTAAGTTTGGAGACAGTTTTTTTCTTTAGTTATTAAAATACTCTGAAATAGTTGCTTATCATATAAGCTGACCAGCAAACTGAGCGCTTGTGCCGATTACTGTTGCTGTACAGTTTTTATCGGATCGCTTCATTGTATATCCGAGCATCAAACTGCTTATGTTTTTTGATTTATTTGATTGTTGTTAAAGGTAATGTTGCAGCTTAGCAGTTTTATGGATTGGAAAACCGGGTAATTTGAAGCTTCAAAAGTTCACCATCATCATGATCGTTTTTTAGAAACGACGCAACTTAGTGGCGCGGAGGAGACTTGTAATGTGCTGATAATGATGATGATGGTAATCGTTGTCGGTATTATTAAAGTCTGTTAGCTGAACATAATTTGGGTGAATCACTCAAGATTTCCTGCTGTTTATTTGCATTGCTCATCAGAAGGGGTTTTGGGATATACGAAGTTAGAAGGGGTTTTTTTTAGTTTCTGAGTATTCACTTGAAATTTATGCAACTGATTGAGCTAGAAGACGATGTACTATACCTTTCTTTTTTGCATTTGTTTTTGGATTAAACTGAAGGAACTTTTTTTTTTTTACAGAAAAAAGTTTCCGATTTGGTCGAAGTTTTTTGTTTTGATTGGCTAGAAAGAATGTTTTCTCTTCAAATTCTTTATTTTTTTGGTCGCAGTTTTGTTTGTCGTTGTAGTTAAGTCTAATAGAAGAAGTTGTTACTTCAATAGCCAACGAATGTTCTTTTAAAAAGCCAGTCGGCTCTTTCGTAAAATAATAATGAAAAAAATTTTTTTATTTCTTTTGTATATAGGGGGTTTTGCTTTCTTTCATTATTAAAAAAACTATTGCTCATCTTTTTTATTGTATATAATTTTTTTGCATATTTTTTATGCTAAGAAGAAAAAACAAGAACTTTTTTGTTCCGTCTTCTATATGTCTATGAAACTTCTTCGGCGGTTACAATTCTGCGCGAAATTCATATGCTTTTCCGCTGCTTCTTTTCGGTGTTCATGTACCTTTTGCTAAAAATTTCAACTGTCGGAAAAAACACTTTTTCACCGGCAAATTTTGCTAAAGAAATCTTTTTTTCAGGGTGGTGGAAAGGTGTTGATTTAGTTCAGGGTTTTTATTTTGAGAGAATTTAAATTATTTTTTTATTTAATTAGCTATTTTCAATATTCAAGGCGCAATCTTTCGTCGATGTTTTTTGGTACTGTGTTCTTTTTGTTCTTTTTGTTTCTTTCAAATGCATTCTTCTTTTATATTTTTTAAAATCATATTCAAGCATATCTATACTAATATGGTTATATATTCCTATATTTATATACATATATTTGTTTGTTTCTTTATTTGTCTTCGTGTTATGTGTATATTTTCTAAACAGTACTTTGGTACTGGTTCTTAATCGAGAATGCATTTTAAAGAGGATGGTAGGAAGAGGTTCTGTTCAATATTTTTGTTTTGTTCAAAATAAAAAAAAAAAGCGAAAAAAAACGCTGTTTTTTGTAAAGTTTATGTGAAAAATCTTTTTTGCTTGGGATTTTAATTTTCAAAAAAAGAAAACATATATGTGTTTTTTTGGGTATGCTAACTTTATTTGATATTAATAGTGATAATGAGATTGAAAAAAAAAAGAAAAAAAAACAAGTGGAGGAGTATTGTTGAAGGTTGGAAAGGTAATGAAGGAACAGCAAAACGAGAAAATGAAGGCAGAGAATAAAAAAATAATGTGGTTTCTGTTTTTTTTTATTGCGTGAAATGTTGAGGAAAGAAAAAGAATTTACCTGTCGTTGTTGAAAATTCATAATTTTAGTTCGTAGGACAAAATTTATTTGTTTTTTTTTTTTTCTGTTTCTTTTTTCTGTATATTCACGTACATTTCCTGTCGTGAAGTTGGTGGGATGGAAACTGCTGTGTGTGTGTGTGTATCATTTCGGAAATATCAAAGATAAAACTGCTTGGTGAGATTGAAACGAAAAGAGCCTAAGGAATGGCGGTTGGCATGACGAGGGTAGTACTTAATTTCCTTCGGTTCAGGTTTTTGATAGGGAAAAAGATGAATTTAGAACCCTGAAGGCGGTTGATTCGTTTATGAGTTGTTCGTACTGTCGATTTTGGAGTGTTTTCAGCCAAAAGATTAAGAATTACAGAAGAGGCAGACTGAGAATAAAAATTAGCATAAGTTGACGTTTAGGAAGGAAAAGGAGAAAGAAGTTACGAAAGGTAAAGACAAAAGAAAGAAGTAACAGCCGTCGTGAACAGTGTTGATCAGTTAAAATGGAAAATGATTGATTGAAACCGGAACAAAGCAACAGAATTTTGTGCACATTCGGTTTTTTGTGCTGTTATTTTTGAGACTTTTAATACTTTTACTGTTGTTTGTTTGTTCTACCATTTTCTGTAGCTTATTTGATCAGTAATTTACGTGTGCCTGGATGCTGTGCATGAGTATTGTGTGTGTCTGTTTGTGTGTCTTTGTCTGCGGTATTTGTGAGCGCTTAGGTACTGTTCGTCATAGGTGTTACGTGAACTTTGGAGAGTAGTACTGGTCAATGAGTCTGCTCTTTGGGGTCGTGCAGTCGGCAATGAAGAGGTTGGTGATAAATAACGTACAAGAATGTTTAGTTGCTTAGCACATGTAATTGTACAGGTAAAAGCATTCAGTGGGAATTTGTATATATGAGAAAATTATGAGTTAATATCAGTCACTGGTGTTGAATGTTCAGGGTAAAAAGAAAAAACAGTTTTGCAGTGAGCAAATGGTTTTGTAGTATTGCAGTGTGAAATGGGTGTGGCTGAGGAGGTAAGTAACACCAAATACAAAAAAAAAAAAAACAAAATTTGCTGTAAAACTTGATTTCTTCATTTGTTTATTTTCCTTCTATAGCTTCTTTTGAAAAAATGATTTTTTCCTGCTCTTGTCATCACAGTCAATTCGAAAATCAGTTGCCGATATCAGCATTGTCGTTATTCCCGTCACTGTCGTCGTCTTCATTGTTGTTGCTGCTGTTGTCGTTATTCTTGTTGTTGTCGTTGTCGTTGTCGTCGTCATCGTCATCCTCGTCTTCGTCTTCATCATCCTCGTCATCGTCATCTCCACAGTCTTCTTTATCATTGTTTCCCGATTTATTTCCTTTTTCTTTCGTTCTTCTTATCCTTTTTTCTCATCCTTTCTTTCTTTTCCTTCCTCTTCTCTTTCCTCTTCTTTTTTTTTTTTCAAATACATAGTTGGTCTTATTTATTACGAAAAAGAAATGAATCTAGAAGGCGACCGATTAACACTGGTTATTGTTTTTCAACATAGATATGTACCAACAACTTACACATAATGTTTTTATATGCTTTGCTTTTTTTTTTTTTTT